ACCTTTTCAGCAAAATTGAGTACGTTGAATAATCATTATGAAATAATGATAGTGAATTTACTCTCAATCTACTTTTCGTTACATTTTGTATTTAAAGCAACGCATCATAAATTTACACTCATACGCGTGCATGCAGATTAGATATATGTGTACATGTGTTTAAAACCTGTAACACAGTCCCAACCGCAATGGGTTCTATTTGCATCAACCGACAAATCAACCAAATGACCAAATGCATGGATTTCATGTGGTTACAGTTGTTAACGCCAAAAGCCAAATGCTTGAAAAAAGGTACGCTATTACCACTACGTGATCCCAGCGGGAAACAATTCGCTGGCTATGTGGTTGAACACCTGAAATGGAAACAGATTTTTGAGTAGGCAGGCTTTTGCATACGTTAATTTAGAATGATCCCAAAAGTATGCTTTAGACATTTTACCGGAATTAAGATGTTAGGGTTATTCAGATTCATATATGATTTTATATCTATCTTTTCTGACTTTTAATTTAATGATGATCGCTCGAATCCTTTTTTCAACCTATAAAAATACCTTTCCTTATTGCTTTTTAAAAAGTTGTATCAATTTAAGCTGCCAAAATTGCGGCGCAAATTCGTTACAACTTTTTACAGCTTCGTGCATTAAAAAGTGGAACCCTCGAAGAACTTGAACAATTTCTCGCTGGGTAATTGGCTTAATTCAACTGACTCTCTGTACACACACACATACACACACAAGCACACAGACGTAATTGCACATTTTAATTTTTCATGCTTTTTAAGCCGAAGCGCTTAATTTCAGGATTTATGTGCATGCATTATAAATATCCTGCTCGGCGATCCTATAGTAGATTTTAATTAGTTTGCCAGTATTTGCATTTTCGGCTTCATACACTTTAAGCCAAACCTGCGCTCTAAATTGTCTGATTAATTATTTATAAATCCTTCTTGCCTTACCCAATGTTATGTATGTGAAAGATATGGTACAGGGCGGCAGATCCGAATCGAGGAGCTGGACCAAACACTCAAAAAACTTACCTGAGCGTTTTTCACTTATTCGCTGTGTTGCAAGTGTTTACTATATGAAGCCGAAATGATGGCCCATAAATCCAACAAGAATACATTGACCCAACGGCGAATGCATTAGGTACGTTTGGGCATGTACCCCGAGGAGCCAGCTTCTATGCCGTTTAATGGGCAAATATTCATAAAAGGATATATAGACTTACTTAAAGTTGCCTCATCATGCAGCCATGAGATTTCACTTAACGGCCAACGCACATGCAAAACCAAAAGGGGTTTTCATCTCAGACGCCTAACAGCTTCTTGTGTGTGTGAGTGTGCGCCTTGTTGCAGCTCCTCCTGCTCCTGCAACCATATAAATAAACATAATCGTGAAACAAGGCAAAGGCAACTTAAATGCTGCGGAATTTTAATAGTTCACGTAAATGGTTTTTGTGGCGTTGGTAATGTTTATTAACCAAGTTAAGCGCCACCGTTCCGAAAGGGACCTCGTCGGCCGGAGTCCTTCAGTGAACCGTGTTTAATGCTCACTTAAGTTGCGTTCATACAAATTTCTTTGGCTCCAGTTTCCAGCCCCAGTTACCACACCAACAACGCCGACACGCTGCTTGGCTCTGCCAACCCCAGAATACCCTGTAACTTCATCTACTGCTTTTTTGGATTTGGTTTTATTTTTATTTTTGTAGTTTGTATCCTTCCGTCGTTTCCTGGCGCACAACTTTCTTTGTGCAGTGGCTTTGGGTATGCCTTGTTTCTTGCCTTGGCTGGCTTCTATGCCTGCGCGCCCGAACTATGCTGGGCTGTGTGTGCCTGGCTTCTGTGATTGCTCTGGCATCTCTGGCTGCTGCGCGTTCTTAGCCAAGTTGTGCGTAAGTGGATTCATTTATGCCCGAGAATAAATGCTTTGTTGTTTACATTCTTAGAAGTTTTGTATCTCACGTCTTGCGACGCTGGACACGCTGTAAGCAACGGTGCCACGTTCCTGCCAAGGTGGTGCCCGGGTAGCTAACCACTCAACTGGAAAAGACTTGGGTTTTGTCTCTATTCAAGTGTGCGAGTGTGTGTAGCTGTTTGTGTGTGTTCGCGTATGTTTCTGTGTGTAAGTGTGTGTGCCTGTCTGTGCGAAATTTTGGGCTTGCATGCCCCAAAATTTGGCTATCATGAATAGACTAAATAGTATACTTGTGCTTAACTGAAGCCCCAAAACCATTGGCCTAGGCTTAAGCTAAAGGCGGCAGTTACTCTGCCATGGCATAAGCAAAGAATTATCCAAGAATGGTTTAGTCGGTTACTTAAACAAGTGAGAAGCTAAGAATTTTAACGCACCTACTCCTTATGCACATTCCGAAAGAATGCCATGAAAGAATGTTTTGCGATTTGGCTTTCAACTGGCATCTGCGAGATGCAAAGTCAAAAGTATCTGTAAGATACAAAAGTATTTCGTATCTAAGATACAAAAGTATTATAATTTAACTTACATTTGTAATTAAATACACGCATTTTTTATACCCTGAACCCTTAAAAATGGGTATAAGGGTATATTGTATTTGTGCGAAAGCCAAATGTATGTAACAGGCAGAAGGAAGCTTCTCCGACCCCATAAATTATATATATTCTTGATCAGCATAAATAGTCGAGTCGATCTAGCCATGTCTGTCTGTCTGTCTGTTCGTCCGTCCGTCCGTATGTCTGAACGCAAGGATCTCAAAACCTATAAGAGCTAGAGACTTGAAATTTTAGATGTAGGTGCTCCTAGCTCCCGCGCAGATCGAGTTAATTTCCGATAATCGATAACTTACTCCGTTTCCAAGCAATCGATAAAAATCTATATAGATATCCTGTTTTTTGGGCAATTTCGGTAAATAATTAGAGCTAAAGTCACCAAACTTGACATATAGCTTCTAAAATAAAATATATATATGCATTTGATGTTGGAAGAAGAGGGTTCCGGGTATCCCCTAGTCGGGAGCTCCCGACTAGAACCTCTTACTTGTTTAGACCTGCAAAAGAAAACTTCTCATGTAAGACACGCCAAGGATGCAAATGTATCTGTCAGATAGATAAAAGTTACTGATGCCTGCAATAAAAGGCACAAAAGGACCAGTTGTCAAAACACTACTGAATGTACAATTTTTTAAATTTTATTCATCAATCACTTGTTTTCATATCAATTGTTATTAGCTACGCAAAAAAAAAGTTTGGGTCTCATCATATAATTATCAACTAACATTAATACATTTATGTATATATATATATATTTATATATATGTGTATGTATTTATGTATATCTATGTATGTATATATTTAAATTTACTTATAGATCCATGTGATCTAGTGCCATAGTTTAAGTATCTGCAATCTGGTAAATATATATATATATAGTTTTATATATATATATTTGTCTTTATATATAATATATATATATATATATGTATATATATATACATAGTATGTCCCATACAAATCAACGCTTATGCAAAATGCAAACAACTTTTGTTTTAGTTCCAACAATTTGACTAAGCTGCTAAATTAATGTCGAATAATATAAAATAATAGGTTTTGATAAGGAAACAGTAGTAAAAACATAAATCAAAATCCAAATTGTGCCGATTTTATGTACAATTGAGAAAAACTAATCTTAAGTAACAAATTCTGTGCTTACAATTTATAGGATAGAAATGGTTTGACACAAAACTAATTAAAAACAAAAAAAAAAAACTTCCTTAAAAATAGAAAAGCAACTTTGTTCGTTTGAGCAGCTTGCTACTAGAAGTAGATGCGACTGTTTAATTATATGAATATTAATATAATTCCTTTTTTTTTTTAATCTTTTTTTCTTTGCATGATTTTTTGTTTTTTGTTCGCTTTCGCACTTGCTTGTGTTTAACATGTATATTTATTTTTATTAAACAATTAAACTATGTACAACTTATGTTTTTGTTCAGATGTTTTGCTTAGCATTTAGTGATATTTCATGTTCAGTGGCTAAGTACAGATAGCTGTGACTGGCAGCCACAACAAATACTAACTAGTTAGTTAATGCATAATATCAATTGAAATGTTCTTTGCTTACTCAAGCGAATTTGAAATAAATTTTTGAAATTTCTTTCCATTTCACATAATTTTGTTTTCGTTTTTCAAGGGCTTCTCGCAATTGTATCTAATTATTAATAAACATCATCAGTCTTTAACTTAGTATACGTTTCTTTTATGTTATACATTTTGTTTTTGTTTTAGTTATTATTTTGTTTGTTTATGTGTATTTTCTTGTTTGGTTTGCCTTTGTCATAAACTCAAGCATGTATTTTGTAACGTCTTTTGTGAATACAGTAAAAACAATTGCATTTTTGTTTTTGTTGGGCCACATCCCAATAAGCAGTTAAATAAGTGCATACATATACTTGGGTATAGGTTAACATGTATATACATATGTATGTATGGTATGTATGTATTTATGTGTAGTCAAGTGCTTAGCTCGCGCAGCCAGACACATGGAGAGTCGTTGCTCTAAAACCCTATACACTACACTACAATTTAAAGTTGAAGGCACAATTTCAAAAGTGTTTTCATTCGCTTTTTTTACACTAGCCATACGAAAGTGTGTGTATACATATATATGTGTGTGTATATATGATAGATAGTACTTAGGTATATAAGTAGGTTGATAAGGGCATACATATATCAAAAATAAATTTATAATATGAATTAACTAAATGTACATACATATAACGGGAACTCCCAAATACAGAAGTTAAATCGGTAAAAAAAAAAATAAAATAAAATAAAAACTTTTCTATAATACAGAAAATAAACAAATCGAGCTCTAGGCTAGGGGGGGACGGGACGGGTTCAAGTTATGGATTTGATTTCAGTTGCGGGTTCGGTAGCGTTTACGGTTTCTGCTGCGGCAAGGAACTCTCCCTTTTCCTCTCTCTCTCTCTCTCTCTCTCTCTCGCCCTCTTTCTCTCTCTCTCTGTCTCTTTCTTTCTCTATCTGTCTCCCGTGCTAACTTACTCTCTATCTCTTTTACGCGCTCACTAAACAAAAAACTCCTCGTTGCCCATTGCACCAACTGCTGCTGGTTCCATATAGGGCGCCACTGGCAGCCAGGGCCATGACCAGCCGCCAAGTAGCTCGAATCACCGCTCCGTGGAGTGCGTTGTGGCACCACCTCCGAGACCGCTGCTGCTGCCGCCAAATCCAGCACCGCCGCCGCCTCCACCGCTGCGCCTAAAGAAGCCCAGCGTTTCGAGCGTCTTAATGGTGCGTCTAATGAGCTCGTCCTTGTATTTCCAAATGGTCTTGTCCTCGACCGAATTCTCGCGATACTCCTCGCAACTCTTCTTCAGCGTCTTCACGCAGTCGGCGCGATAATGCTGCAGCTGTGCATCCTGCGTATCCACCGGATACGATTTGCAAACGCCACCCAAACAGCTCAGCGGAAAATGATTGTGCAGGGTTAGCACACGCTCCGGATCGTGAAAGCATTTCACATACTGATTGGGCTTCGTGTAGTTCTTGGCACGATGCACATGCTGCAGCATATGCATATACTTGGGTATATCCTTGTGCCAGCCATGCTCGTGCTGTTGGTCGTCCAGGAAGTAAACGTTTCGGAAATTGTAGCTATGATAGCCGTCGGGCTTGAACTTGAGTGACTCCGGACGCACCTTGGCCATCAGTTCGGACCACAAAATCGAATTGCCCTTGGGCATGATCACCTCGTCAATGTCCAGGAGCGCTATATAATCGTACAGATATAGATTCTTGTACAGGCAATCATTGTATGGTATGACCTCGTTCTGTCGCTTGTGGTTGGTCTTCTTTGTCAGATAGAGATGCTGGAAGCCGGGCACGTTGGGCTGGCCGCCGGGCAGGGTTAATGGTATCACTTGCACCTTGCCCTCTTGCTCGTAATGGCTAAGCACCTTGGTAATGTTCGGATGCACTTGCAAATTGTAAAAGTAGATCTTGTCGGCGCCCAAGATGTTAAGCATTTCGATCCATTCAATTAGCCGCACGCTCAGATCATCGTACAAAAAGTCCAGACCCTTCACGCAGACGGCGAAACCCTTCTTGTGATCATCGGGCGGCCGATTGTAAATGACCCGCAAATTGTTGGTGGCCGTGTCGCACTCCTTCTCCACCATTGACACGGAGCTGGGGACCACGCCGTGAAAGGGCTTGGGTATCTGGCAGGCAATCAGATAGGGCTGATAAATGCCCTGCTTGTAGTTGCCCCACTTGTTGTACCATATATACTTGTACTCGAACGTCTTCACAATGAACGGCTCCTTCTGGCCATCAAACCAGAATTGGCAGTAGGTCTTGACCTTTGGCTCGATCCGATCGATCATGCCCAGAATGCGCACTGTCGGACCCAGGAGCGAAGTGCGTCGAATGTCATAGTAGGCGCCAAACAGCTGAAATGTTCCATTCGATGTGCGCAGCGTCTGCCAATAGATGTTGTTGAACTCGAGCTCAAAGATCGATGGGTATTTGGCACATGTCGCAGATTTCTGCTGCAGAAAGTTTTTGTTCTTGCTCCAGTAGGCGATCGGCAGGGATGGTATCCGGGACTCCACGTCGCGCACCAGCTGATCATCGTCCATGGCTGCAGCAGTAAAACAAAAAACATATCAAAATTAAATAAATAAGTGAGTGAGAATGCATTTTGCAAGCTGCAGCTGCCGCTGCTGGTAGCACACTCACCTGTGCGATTGTCGACGAGTATCTCGCTGGGATCAAAGTGATCGGTTGTGGTGGATGTGGTCTCTGCATAGCGCAGCATATCCTTTTGCAGCAGACTGCGGCCGTTGAGTGGCAGCTGCTGATAGTCCTGCGGCACCTGCCGATAGTCCTGTGGCACCAGATTCGTGCCATGCATCTTGAACAGTCCAATGATAATAAAGGACCACACACACAGCGAGAACAGAATCTTTAGTATGACCTTCGAGTGCGCCATTGTTGCAACTATATTGTTGTTTATCTCGTTCTGGTTAGTTGTTTCTCTCTCTCTCTTTTACTCGTTGTCTCTGTTTGCTTTAGCTTCTTGCGTGTTTCCTCTGCAATAAAATATTAAAATGAAGAAGTTAGGCGTCAAGCAATATATAATTTGTTGCCTACTTTTGGGTGCTACAACTAAAATTGTTGCCACGCGGTGTAACTGCCAAATTACTTTGCATTTCTCAGCAAAATCGACCCCCCACCACCCGACCGTTCACTAATGAAATGCCGTCATTCATTTTTAATATGTCGGCCAGCCGCGCAGCCATTTCCGTTTCCCCCATCCAACACGCAGCATCAGACGCAAAATGTCAACTTGAAAATTGCGTGTAATATTTCTCACAGTGCACACAAACATACCCCGGGCAGACAGGCGGCTGTCCATCCGGCCGGAGAAGAACTACAGCGTCGGGCAGGGATAAGGATGAGGCCTTTGCCTAATGGAAAACAATCTAAAAGTGTCGACACAGTGGGGAGTGTGGGTTAAGCAGTTGGTTACAAAATGCATTTGGCGATTTATCGATAAGTGTGGAAAGACCATTCGACCAGATATCGATAAAATAGATGTTGATCCAAAAGTAATTTTAAAGACATAAAAATAACAGTTCGAAACTATTTTAGGCTTTTTACTAAAAAGCGCAACCTAAACCAAATGCGCTGCCCAAAAAACAGCCAAACCGTTTCACTATATTTTTATTATAAAAGATAACAGACCAAATATAAAACTGTGCGACTTATACTTAATTTAGGAACTTTAATCTCGATTCGGGCTCAAAATCTCAATTTAATTTTAGTTTTTGAATCTTGTACGAATATGTTTGCCTTTAGCGTACCGTGTTTCTCGATATGCATTGTTGGGATTAGAGCCAGACTTTAAACCCAGCCAGTTACTAGAACTGAGAATACGAAATCGTAGATAACTTATCGCTTGATCAATCGATAATATAATATATCGCTTGCCTAACCGATAAACAATATTTATTAAATAGGCCACACCCATTGTGAGCAAAATTACATTTGCATGTTGTCATGAACACTGGACAACTGGCAACCAGCTCCAGCTCGGTCCGCCGTGCTAGAACAGGCTATGGCTCAGTGAAGCGGTTGCAGTCTCCAACAAATGACAGTGGCGCATTGCCATCTCCGTTTCCATCTGCGCTCTGGACACACGACACCTCAGGCGACAATCTGTTTGTCTATCTGGGCTTTTGTATCTTTGTATGCGCCGCACGCAGGCTGCGCTGGCGTTGGCGTTTGAGTTGGCGTCGGCGTTGGCGTTGGCGTTGGCGTTGTCGTTATGTCTAACGGCGGACTTCTAATATTTATGACATTGCAAGGGGAACTCCATAGTGGCCCCAAATGCGGCACTTGCGTGCCGACGCTTGACCTGCCTCGAGGCGTTTTGCGAAGCGATAAACAAAAGGCGTGCCCCTGGATTGCAGCAGCTGGTTTGCCATTCATAGCTCAATTTTGTCTACAAATTGCACGTGATGGCGTGCGTCTGTGGCAAATGGATGACAATGGCCACTGTCGGACATTCGAGCTGGGCCACAGTGCCAGACAAACGGGCGACACTTTTAACTCGATCTGTTCCCGTTCCCGTTCCCTCTTCCTGTTTCCCGTTTTCCGTTTCCGTTCCGTACCGTCTGCGCTTTCAATTGACAGACAGGAGCTGTGACTGTGTATCCGTATGTCCTCTGTATGTGCCATGTCTTTGGCCAGCAAATTGCATGTCCTGTTCATTCCTTTCCTCGCCCACACTCACTCCGCGCTTGGGCCACTAAACAGTTTGTTGTCCCTGCTGCTTAAGCAGCTCGCTTTCTCTCCCATTCTCTCACTCGCTCTCTGTCTCTTTCTATGCTAACCGTCTGCCGAGAGTTCCGGCACACCTGAGACTCCATTATGATTGCCTGCCCGTGGGATTGGCCATTTGAAAGGCAGCAGCAGCAGCAGCATCAGGCACTTAAAACCCTTTACAAAGCCCCGACCGCCCGCAGCTTTAATGCAATTTTTACATAATCAAAAACTTTGTGCAACATTTGCTGCAGCCCAAAATCAGGCAAATGCAAAGCACACACAAACAAATAAACACACACACACACAGACACACACAAACACACACGCAGAAAGGGTCCCTGAGCCAGGTCGCATCCTGGCAGCTTAGAGTTTTTGCTCAAGTGTTTTCCATTTCATTTGCATGCGCCGCAAAAACTTTGCCCAGCAAACACACAAACAAGCACACACACATACACACACAAGCAAACACACAAACACACACAGACAGACAGTTGAAGAGTTAGCGAACATTATACAAAATATTTTGCAACATGCTTTCAACAAGCTGTTTTTTTTTTTTGTATTTTTCATTTTTTATTGCTTTTTTTTGGCAACAAGCACATCCTCGAGCTAGTTGGCTGCAGGGCTCGTGAAATATGCAGGGGCTACCTATCTGAAACTCTATCTGTGCCAGTGAAAATCTAGAAATACATACAAACAAACAAACATACATGCATATACATACATGCATTATCGTATATATATGTGCGTATAAATGCATATGTATGTATGTGTGCTTGCGCCTGAAGTTGTTATAAATCTCTGATGATTTGCACTCAACTCATCTCAGCTGCACTCAGAGTTTAAAGTCAACAGTTGTTATACCCTGTAGACACAAGTGCATACACTAGGGTATATGAGTTGTGAGCAATTACACTGAAGTGCTAAGCGGGGTTAGGTTATTTACATATTGGTGAATAAGGTATACGCATAGTTAAATACTTGGCAAACAAAGTCTGCTACACTGCAAGCTCCAAAACCCAGATAACTCAAGTCATCAGGCTAAAAAGGGTATCATGTTCAGACAGCGTGAAGCATCAGTAATTCCATAAAGTATATATATGCATGATTAGGACGTTCAGCTGGGTTTATATTGCCCTGTCCGTCTGTCTGTTTGGCTGGTTGCACGTGACGAACTTCGCAACTAGACAAGCTATATACTGGAAATAAATATTCCCGGTTAACATACGCTGAAGAAAATTATAACTTTTAATCGACATTGCTTCACATTTCCATAATATCGATAAATATCGATTTTGAGACTTGGGTTTCAATCATAACCAGATGGTTATATGAGTTAAATGCATCAAATTTAGTATGTGGCCTTTCTTTTAGTACACACTCATTGAGACTGTTTCACTTTTTTGATAATTCCTCCCTTTCCCCACACTTACATGCATTTGTCTGTTTGGACTGTATTTGTGCAGCTTCCGACTGTGTTTTGTTTAATATTTTTGAAAAGAAAGCAATGTGAAATAGAATGTTCCTGCGATCGTCAAAATCCGCATAATAAACATAAAATGCTGTCAACAGCATTTATTTATTTAACACAAAAAATGTCCACTTCCTCTAACAAACTAACAGAAAATCAAATTTAATGAATATCTGTGTGCTGTGACCAAAAACCAACTGTCAGTCGGCAGAGCTTGCGTCTGGCATATTTGTATCTTGCGTTGCATTTGAAAGACATTTCACAAATTTGGATCAAAATGGGATCAGTCGCAGTGGCATGAACGGCAAATACTAAGTGGCGGCTCATTAATCAGGGCCTCTCTCTGCGCACTTAACCCAAATCCATATCGAGCAACATGTCAGGCATTAGCATTTACAAGGTAGAATCGAGCTCCCGATTCTAGCTATTCAGTACTTTCTCGTGTTGTTCTGTAAGTCTTTTTGATATTTCAGGCACAATGTTAACACCCAAACGATTTGGGTAAATTCGCTATTTAATACTCGTTACGGTTATGCGATTTTTTTTTGTTTGCTGTTTTTTTTTTTTTGTGTTTTTGGCTACAAAAAAATATATGCCGCAGCAGCAGCAGCAGTTGTTGTTGTTGCTTATTTGCTAGGCAAAACAGGTTCGATCTTGAATGTGGCTTCTGGCCATGCTGCGGGCGTTGTGTCGCGCCCAAAAACTTGTCGCTTGAGCATTGAGAACATGTATATATATATATATATATATATATATATATATATATATATATATATATATATATATATATATATATATATATGTATGCATGTAAGGCTGCGTATATTTTAATGATGCCCAACTATTCAACTACTTATCTATTCAACTATTCAATTGGGCAGACAACAAGCTGCTTTCGAAATGGGTCAATGAGCCTCAATGACTTTTACAATTTCTAGACGCGTTCTTCGCGGACTACGGACAAGAGTCCAACAATTAAAAAAAAAAATGCTTAACTTGCTTTGCTCTCAGATTCGATAAGCGGCAGCTGCCTCTGGCGCGTCCATTGATCTCCACTTGGTAGCTGTTGAGCTAACGGAAATGTGTGTTGCGCACGCGCAAAAGCCACCAAACAAGTTCTCAGAGTGTGTGTGCGAGTGTGCTTGTGTGAATGTGTGTGTGTGTGTGTGTGCGTGTGTGGATCTGGAAGATATTCTATAGCCTGTCTGCCTGCTGCACAGTCAGGAAATGCGTGTCACAAGGCATTGTTGCAAATTTCTTGGAAGCAGCTCGTTAAGTTTCCCATTGCTGCTCCATGCCACATGCAACATGCCACATGCACCATGCGGCAACCCCGCAACCATCGCGCCACCATATGCCCGCCCCAGCACGACCCCAAACTGCAATTTGCAAACAATATTTATAGAATTTTGCCTTCCGCTCGTCTGCTACTCTTCGTCTTTGCTACTTCATTTGCAGTGCAACATTGGCCCCACTCACTGGGGCTGATCGGTTGCTGTCTGGCATGTAATCAAAGCTTATCATGCCGCAAATGTCGAGTGTTGTCCGTGCAGGGGCTGAGGATGGGTGGGGTTAACAACCAGCAGCAGGCACTCTCTGACAGGCATTCTGCCGTACCATAGCCAACACTGAGGCGTGTCATTGTTTATTTTGAGACAAAGCTGTGCCCGAGGCCAAATGCAGGATGGCTGCAAAAAGAGCTGCAACATTAACTCGACTCGTCTCTGCCTGTTCAGATCGTGTGAAACTCATGTCTCGCCATAAGCACTTGCAGTTCACAGTTAAGGAGTT